AAGAGCATTAAATCAAAACTTAAGATAACATATGAAATTTTGGCTTGACTTTCTAAAAAAACATCCCCAGTGGAATCACAAGATGTCATAACAATTTTTGGTAATCGCTAGACAAAAAATTTTAAAAGTTTCAAAATAGAAGGAGTCACCACCAATCTTTTTTGTTAGGTTTAATTGGTCACCTAAAATTTTATATTGTTTAATAAAACAATAAAATGAGTTTAGAGTTTAATAAAAAAGATATTTTGGTTTATGAAAATAGTTGAATTCAGGAGTCGGTTATGCATGGGGAAAGATTAGCACCCTCACAGCGCCTATTAAAAAATAATACCAATTGATCATATGTTAACCTAATTATTGAAAAAAATGGTCTTAGTTCTAATATTTAAAAATGATTCCCTCAAATTTTATTTTTCTTGAAAAAAATCTTTTCTTTTTTATTTTTTTGCAAAACTTTTTATTCAGGAATATAATGAAAATCTTTACTATCAAAACACTTTCTAATTCTCCAATATCTAGGTAGAATTTTGAAGAATATTTCTTTACTTAGGATTTTCATACTAATCCCTCAAAAACTCCACATAATATTCCTTTATAAAGACAATTATTAAGAAACCCTCTAATACCTAAACAGGGTCCCAAATTTTGTTTTACTTAGAAATATTAGTTTTTTTTTTAAAAAAAAAAACTACTCTTCCAAAAACCAACAATTTGTTAGTTTTTTTTTTAAACACTAAAATGTAGGCAAGTATTGTTTAGAGCAGATGTATGATAGGAATGTAAACTAAAAGCAAATACTCAATTAAATTCATCTAATGCATATTTAAATTTTTTTTAGGAATAAAATGGAAAATCTTTAGTTTTTAAACATTTTTTAAATTTTCCAATATCTAAGCGAAATTATGAAAAATTTCCTCCACTTAAAATTCTCATAATATTCCTTAAAATCCAACTTAATATTCTTTCATAAAAAATAATTATTGAGAAGCCTTCCAATATCTACGCAATGTCTCAAAGATTATTTTTACATAGCAATATTAGCTTTTATCTCTAAAAAATCTTTTTTTTCAAAAATCTTATTTTATCACTATAAACACCCATTTTGTCCCAAATTTTCTTGAAAATTGAAATGGGCCTTCGATTCTGAATTGGGTGCGATTAGAAACTTTGGGTCTAATAGGATAAAAGCCCAAAATTTTTAATTGTAATTTCATTCTTGATTTTGATTTTAATTTAGATTTTTTTAATTTAGTTTTGATTTTAATGGTTTATTTTGGTAAAAAAAGTCAAAATCATAAAGCCACAAAAAAATAAAAAAACCCAAAAACAGAAATGCGATATTTTTCACCAAGATTTGGATCCTATTCATGGGGCTTAATGATCAAAGCGTTTATGGAAAGTTTAGGCTTAATTAATCAAATCAAATCACCATTAAATCCTAGATCTGATTGAATAGATTTCCAAATTCAAGGGATTCAATCCCTATAAACAGACAAACAGAAAAATTATTCATGGGAAAGCATATACATAAAACAATCATGGGCAAGTAAAAGGCAATCAAGAAAAACATTTAAAACTTTTTAGGTTTCTGGAAGTTTGGAAAAAAATTTTGGGTCTTTTGAGTTCTTGTTTTGATCATGGGTGCTCTTTGCAAGTTTTAGGATTATTTGCTTTGGTTTTTGGAATTTTTGCAGTGGATATTGATTTGGTATGATTCTATGGTTTTTTTTTTTTAATTTTTGGGGAAATTTTTTATTTTTTTAGGTTTAGGTTAAATTTTAGGAATTTTAAGTTTTGCTGGGTTTTTCTAGGTTGAGCATGAATATTTCGATGATGGTTTGAATTTTTTAGTTAATTTTACGATGGCTAGTGGAACTCATGGTGGATGAGTTCTAGGATTTACAATGGTTTCTGGGTTGATTGAATTTTTCAATGGCCATTTGAATTTCACAATGTCAAAATCTAGGTTTAGGTTGTCGATTGAATTTTTCGTTTGGGTTTTTAGAGAAAAAGTAAAGAGAATTTTTTTTAGAGAGAGAAAGAGAAGAGAAAAGCCATATGAGGGTTAGCTGATTTTTTTTGCTTTTATACAATGTTAGAATGACAATGTTTTGGAGAAGGCTTTGACTCGCATGAATCTAGTTGACCCACCAACAACCGACAAGCTTACTCACTTAGGATCCGACTCGATCAGAAGGTTTTTCTTTTCTTTTTTTCTTTTTTTTATTTTTCTTTTTCTATTTTTTGTTTTATTTTTTTATTTTTTATAATTATATTTTTTTACTATTTTTTATTTTAATTGTAATTGAATTAATTTAAAAAAGAATTTTAACATTAATTATAATATATATTTTGCATGATGTGATTGTATATCTATTGCATGATATGATTATATATTCATTTGTATTATTATATTTAATTTGATTACATGATTATTAATATATTTGTTTGTGTGATTATATTTGATTGTATGATTTTGTATGACTTACCTTTGCATGATTAATTAATATCTGCATGATATTTTATATTTTGCTAGATATTTTATTGCATGATTTGTTGTATGATATATTATATTATTGCATGATATTTTTATTATTACATTATTTGCATGATAATTTTTGTTTATTTTAATTGTTTATTTTCTCTTAAAGTAAAAAGAAAAATAGTTTTCATAAAATTCTACCAACATATTGAAGGATAATTTTTTAAAGAAAATTTTATCAATATATTGGAGGATATTTTTGAAAATAATTATTTTTTATAAAAAAATTAGATTTTGATTGGTTATCACAAATAAAAGTTTTTTTTGTCACAAAAATTAATGGAATCCGAAAATGGAGCCTCTTCAGAGTATGACATTAGTTTTCATAAATACTCTTGAGATAAGAAAATTATCTTAAATTGCTATCAAACTATTTGAATAATTTTAAGCTTAATTTTCAATAATTAAATTATTAGGTAAACCATAAAAATATTTTAAGGCTTAGATATCATGAAATCAAATACTTTCAGAAATTTCAACTATCTTTGGCTGAAGTTGAAAACCTCTCTCAACTTCTTCTCGAAATTTCTTTTCTCTTTCTCTTTCCCTGGTGTATGGAATATAAAAAAATATATCGGTTATATCATATCCCCTGTTTTTGTGAGTCAAGAAGGAAAGATAGATAGATTGTCTTCGGACCTATCTGAAAGACGGTATCGAACTACAGCTCGACAACCTTCTTCTTTGACTGGCTTGGGAAATCCCCGTAGGCTATGGATCTCACTAATGGAATGGGGCTAACACCCGATTTCCATGGTCTAGGTTCAAGGACAATACAGATTTCAGTATCTAAGCTAAGGCTTCATGGACCCAATTTTTAGGGCTTTTAAGGACGGACTCGCGAGTGTCCCAGGGATTGACCGGTGACACTACTAACAACATTGACCTAATAGCGGCTTATTTTGCTTAAACATGTTCTCTCCTCGAGGCCTATACACCTTCTTGCTATGTCTTTTTCCAGAATCCATAGAACCCATGGCTTAGTGCCATTACTGTGAGCGGCGGATGATTGGTATGAAGGATCGGTTGCAACGGTTTCACATTCATGTGAATCCCGTGGGACAAGGCCAATTAGGCTTATAGATTGAAGCTAGACCTGTTAACTTAACTGAACGAAGTGGAAAAACCACCTTCTCTTGATTCTAATTCTATACCCACTTCCCTTTAATGGCTTGAAGCCTAAAAACTACCCGTGAAAGGCATTTTGCTTAGGACTGCAGGAAAGATGATAGCCACTAGGCCTGCTACTAGTACTAGATACACACGCACTAAACAATATATGGGGAAAGCCTATTCTATAAGATAAGAGAAAGAAGGACATCCATATTGGCTTACAGGGCTTACCCTTACTCTTATGCTTGACTAGAAATTATGCTAGCTTAACTGGAATTGGAACAACAAGGTTTTAAAGGAAAGAGACTTCTAGATTGGCTTGAAAACTCCCCGGAGATAAAACATATATAGTTTTAGAAGAAGAGGTCTTGGAGAGGTAAAGATTGAGACAGGTTGTAAGAGTTATTTCTATTGCTGCCTAAGAGCCTTTCCCCTACTTAAGAGATTGCTTGAAAGGCGTTGGTTGAGTGACTGCACTTGCCCCTTTGACTGCTGGATTGATTGACTTTGCCAGCTTCAAACCCTACTGTTCTAAGGATAAGGAAAGGAACGGAAAGGGGATGAAAATTCATATTCTTCTCTTCCTTAGACCCACCATCTATCTAGTTAGCCCCCTCGGGGAAAGAATTTAGAATATTTCGGTCCCTTTCTCCGAGGCAGGTATCAGTTATGCGCACCAGTTGTGCTATCGAAGCCCAATTCTTTCCTATGCAAAAAGGGGAAGCTGTTAGGAATCTAGCTAGGGCATGTGATCCGGTGATCCCTAGTAAAAAGGGCGGGTCTTAGGAAGATATAGGGTGGACAAACTGTCTTGCGAACGAAGCGTTGTTAGACCTATTTCCTTTTCTTTCTCTGGTATCGTCCATTGGTATGATAGTTCCCGCAGTAAAGGATTCCGTTAAATAGGATAGAAGTTCTGCAACGTTAGCAACATCAGCTACAATAGACACAATAGCTTCTCCGGCACCAGCTACAGTGGCTACTCGAAGGAATATCAGTTCTTTTACAGGACCAGTAGACACTTTCGCTAGAGGAACCACAGAAACTGCTCTAGGCACAAGAGATTCTTTTGCTCCAGCGATATGTTTCGTAGCAGCCAAGGATGAGTTCGATCCATTAGGTTCTTCGATTTGTTCGGAAAAGAAACGAGAGACAAGAAAACATCTTTGATTACGATTAAAAAGAACAATCTCAAATAGACCAAGATCAAATTTCGGGTCATTTCTTGGTGAACATGATCTGCCAAAATCTCTTCGATCCCTTCATTTATGTGCCAGAATAAAAAGAGATTTGGTAGGAAAGTGGAAGAGACTTTTTTGTATATGATAATCAAAGGGAGTGGGAAAGCAGCAGTAATTCTTTGGAAAAGCCCGATTCTCTTTGTCTTCGAGCTTTCATTTTTTAATCCACCGTTTCGTTCCTTCATATACCTCCCCACCAATAGATAGAGACAAATGGGAATAACCGAACCACGTCTACAAAATGCCAGTACCATGCAGCTGCTTCAAAGCCAACGTGATGCTCTTTAGTCAGATGACCAAGATATTGGCGAATACCACATATGATCAAGAAAAGAGTACCTATAATCACATGAAAACCATGAAAGCCAGTTGCTAAGAAAAAGGTAGAACCATAAATACTATCCGAAATAGTGAAAGGTGCTTGATAATATTCCATTCCTTGAAATCCAGTGAATACTAGAGCCAGAAAAACGGTAGCTACTAAAGCATAAACTGCTCGTTTTTCCTTCCCCGCGAGTATAGCATGATGAGCCCAAGTTACGGCAGCTCCGGATGAAAGGAGAATAGGGGTATTAAGAAAAGGGATTTCCCAAGGATCTAAAACCCCAATCCCTTTTGGGGGCCAAATACCTCCAATCTCTACCGTAGGTGCCAAAGAAGAATGAGAAGAAGCCCAAAAAAAAGCAAAAAAGAACATAACCTCCGATACGATAAACAGAATAAAACCATATCGAAGTCCTAATTGTACGACTTTGGTATGATGTCCTTCCAACGTGGATTCACGTAGAACATCGCGCCACCATACGAACATGGTATATAGGATAAATATGAGGCCCAAACTGAGAAGTCTTGCACCCCCTTGAAATGAGTGCATGTACATCACACCTCCTACGGTGGTTGCCAAAGCTCCGAGTGAACCCGAAATAGGCCATGGACTTGGATCTACCAAATGATAAGAATGCCTCTGAGATTCAATCATAAACCACTTTGCCTCGGTTGTATGTAAACCCCCCTTCACCCCCATCCCCTAAAGTGGTAAAGAAGGGCTCTTTGGGGTCACATTTTCTTTCTATCTGACAGGACAAAGAAATAGGGAAGGGATGGTTCTTTCATTGCATTGATAGAAAGAAGTCTAACTAGAAAAGGATCTCTCTCTTACTTTGAGAAGAGAATCGTTGGTTTTACCGACGAACTACGTGGGAAAGGAAACTCGTTTCTTTTTTTCCTTGTACTTCCTTTGAGAGTTTCCTTGAAAAACTCACTGTTTGGTCCCTTCAACGCAAGGTCGCGGCTGATGTCAGAAATATTAACAATATCCTGATTTGTTTGCCTCATGGGACCATATGTATCTTCGTATATGTTTTTTATGGCCCCCCTCCGCTGTTCCCCCCGATTCGGCAAAAATATCAATGTCCGTAGGGATTTCAGGAAATTGGATTGGCAAGCATTAGGCTCTGCAAGACCTCCTCCCTTTTTAGTAACAAAATGAACCAGAAGTAGGACCAAACTGAGAGTTAGCAGCATAAAGAAAGATGGATTTGTGAATGAGAAATACAAGTCTCCCCCTCCCCCCTTAGAGGACTAGATTCTTTTCCCTTATTGCTTGGAGAACCCGCTTGTATGGAGCACACTCGCGAATACCATCGTTGTCGATAGTGTTAATCAAATTTGGATAGGTATTTTCGGAGAGAGCAGTCCCCCGTGGATAGAAAAGAAAGCCCCGTATGTGGGGAAAAAAAAGTGGAAGGGCGTAAAACGTCATCCTGAACTAAAGCGTCTTCAACCCTCATTTCTATCCCCATTTGGTATGCGAGGATCTTATTCTGCGCCTCCATGGTGATATTTTTTCCAATTCAATTGATTGAGAGGCGATCCTCTAACTCTCTCAGACGAACCATATCGGGATCGGGAATTAGGGGTGGAGGATTTGGAAGCGGGGGGATGACGGGCTCTCCGGGTGCAGGTGCTGGTGCAGGTTCACCCGGATTCATCGGCAGGACAACATAGGGAGCGAGCCCCCCCTGGCCCTGTGGAATCATGAATAAAAAGAGGGAATCCACTAGTTGGAGCAGATTCCCCAAAAGTAGAATAGAATATCTTATTACAAACAGGGTCATAATAAGATATTGAAAAAGGAGCAAAAAGAGGCGAAGGCTTCTATTAGTAAAATAATAGAAATAAAGGTTTGTTGAGCCAGAGAATATAGATATAGAAAGTCAAGAGGGACCAGAAGAATTGTGAAAAATAAGTGAATTTATCCATGATATTTAAATGCTTCCTTGGCCGTGTGGAACATGGATTAGCATTATGTCATTCCTACAAGTGATCCCCCATCCAGGATTGCTATAGGAGGACTTCGAGATCAAATAGAATATGTTTCTTTCCATGCCTCGTGAGCCACTTATTTCTCCGAAACAAGAGATCAAAGTTCTTTTCCTCCTTTTTCCCAATAAGTCGACAGCCTTACACCATTGGGATACTTCGAATAAAGTAGAGTCCATATAGGATACACCGGTGCTAAAACCTTTTCTCAAGATATCCTCCAAACTCTTGGGGTCCTTGCTCTGGATCTTGTTCTCCCGGTGTGAAACCAGTTGGTTCCGTAGTTTTAGAATTATGCTGATCCCAAGTACTCCATCTCCATTATTGCATATTGGAATATAGAAAATAAAGAGGAAAAGGCATAACCAGAAGAATTGTGAAAAATAAGTGAATTTATCCAATTGAGGCATTTTTTTTTTTTCTAAATTCTTCCATTCCCTCCAGACAGCTTCACTCCGTCAAGCCTGTACTTTTAGTGAAAAACTAGAGTTTCCTTTTGTTGGTTGTTGACCAACGGAAGACATGGGAGTTTTGTATTCTAATATTCCAATTGCATCTAAAAATCCCGAGAAAATGCAAGAAAAAATGGCACATTAGCTCATAAATCATGACACGGATTCTATCTCTCTATATATATGAAAGAAAGAACTTCTTCGGAAGAGAGGTTATTATCCTCGGCCCTGCCACTCCCTGCGGAGTTGCATTTCCGTACCTCCCGAAGAACGCAGGGTTCGGAAATCCGCTTGTACCTCCTGAAAGTAGGGGCTATGGTGCCCTCTCTCTTGGAGACTAGCGAATATTTCAGGCAATTTGGCGCCTCCATGCCTCTCTTCTAAACAATCGGTCAGCCTCTCGGCCTGGAAGCCCCCCGGGACACGCGTGTGCAGTTCCCGGTCTCCTTATGCTGTAACAAGTGTTGGAGCGAAGGTGAAGGAATTTTCCAAGTTAGTCTCTATCTGACTACCAAGATGCAACAGGTGCTTAGACTTATAGTAAGCGCTAGATTGATCTTTATAGCAGTCTCAATGAAGTAGTCCCTTATTAGGGTTAGGCTCTCAGTGTAAACCTAGTCTCATGCTCGTGAGATGAAGCTTCCCTCAGAGCAGAGCCTAGACCGCTAATGCCGTTGAATGGTTTGGGGCTTTCGTTGACAGTTAATTCCTTTAGGTTTAGGCCACAACTAGAAAGAACTAATAGCAATTGAAGAAGAATCGGCAGGTGCAGCTATTACAGACTCGATTCTTAAATAATCCTCTCTTCAAATATCATATAGAAAGAGAGAGAGCCACTGAACTGATAGCGATCTAGGGGACTGGTGATTGACTTTCCTAAGATGGTTAGAGTACTTTTTTGATCCCTAGTTGTCTAATTTCATAGTGAAATCACTTTTCTTCTCTTACGATATTTCATACTTAAAAGTACCATACACTAGATTGCCATCCTATAGGGGATAAAAGTAGATGATGTCTTCAAGCTTAGTTGAAGGTTAAGGAAAAGGGAAAGGAAGTGTTATTTTTTAACTTCCACTTCTATTTCTTGAACTGACCTAGCCTCTTGTCTTGCTAGTGGACTCTTTTTCTGAGTGATGAAATTGACGATTGTGTCGGTGGTATGTGAGTAGAGCGGATAGCCTTGAGCAGGGCGAAGATAGTTCTAACAATCATCGATCGCGTAAGCCGAGCTGGGAATTTGAATATCGGTTTTCCAGATGGGCAGTTGGTAAGGAAGCAGATGAGAGGATCTTCTTTTCTTTTCTAAGGTTGGGTCCGAGAAAGAAATAAGAGAATTCTCAAGCCGATGCTGCTATTTCCGAAACAAGTCAATATGGCCGTGCTCAAAGCCAAAGCAAAGAGTGATGAGTGCCTTGAGGGGCGTAATTCGAAACACGATCAGGTGAATAAGTTTCGTACTCAATCGTAGAAGCGTGAAATGCACCTGATCAGGTACAAACAAAAGTAGTCGAACTTTCTCGGTTCCACATTATGATAGATTCCCTTTAGAAGCTCGATTGTCAAGTGGGGAAGCATGCCTCTAGCTCCACGCATAAGGTGAAAAAGACGAAATTTCCCAGTTGCAGCGCGCCTTTCTGGGTGCTCCGCTCGAGTATAAATTTAAGCCAATTAAATCGAACAACCTTCTCAAGTCAAGAGAATACAATATGCGGAACCAAATTCCCAGCCCTTACCTTGGCACTGCCTTTTTCTCTGCAGGAATGTCTTTCTTTATTTTGAGCAGTGGCTAGTCTTCCTTATCTCATAGCGGAAACCATAATTATGTGATCGAAGAACGCCGGGTGTAGGGATGACAGATGCATAAAGGCTTTGTCATCAGGAAAAGGAGAAGGGGGAAGCTAAGAAGAAGGAGAAAAAGAAGAAGAAAAAAGGAAAAGCTTTCAAACTTCCTTGTTCTAGCCCCAGCTGCTGGCTTAGATTAAAAGAACTGGCTGGAGGGGAAGACCTTACCCTGGAAAGATATGTATATATACCTATATAGGCCCTTTCCGGGAAAGCTAGTAATTCACCAGGCACAGGTGGAAAAGAAAGCACTTATTGCTAATTAGAAGCAGGAAAACCCTTAACTTGCCTGCTGGAACGGAACTCAATATGGGCGAAGCGAAGGAATAGAATTGAAAAAAGAACTCATATGCGATAGCGCATATGCGCTGCAAGAAGAGATAGTTGTGAGGAAGAAGGGAATGTAATAGAGTTCCTTAAGACACTCATTACTGGTTGAGCTGATACGAGCAGTTTCAAATCGGATGCTATCCAACCTATCTTTATCATCCCCCTCTTCTCAAAGGCTCAAGAAGTCTTCGACTACCTTGACTAGAAGCAGATTCTAAGACTTCTATTACTCAAAGTACTCCAAGACCCTTAACATTAGAAACTCTCCTTCTCAAGCACTGGCTGCGGATGATTTTAACAATCTTTCACAACCGATTCTGGCTATAGCACCAGCTCATTCCCTGACTTCTTCTCTCGGGGCATTCTCTTCTTCTTCTTTAACTATGTTATTTGCTTTCACTAGCACCGGTTAGGAGAACGAGAACGTTAAGAGTAAGAGTTCCTTCTGTCCCACTTGGCTCAATAGCCGGAGATGAAAGATCTTACTAGAATAAGAAATTCCATCCCTCATTGACAGGAATTGCTACTTGAACTATTTAGCACAGATCGCCTACTGTCGAAAAAAAGCAGGCATTACGCACTGACTGAGAGCAGGGATAGTCTTTGAAAGCTAGGGCTTAGCACGCGCTAAAGTTCTTTCTTATCTCTTCGCTGTAAAGAAAGATCTCTCTCTTTTTTTTTTATAAGGCTCTCCCCGAGGGTCAGGAGCTACCTTTATAGTTGCATAATAGGTCTTGCTTCCTTAAATGGAGTTTGCTCTCACTATGCTTTCGTGATTCCGTATAGTATGTACTTATGCAATGTGTATCATCAACAGCGCACGCTCTCTTCTCTTGCTTTAGGAAAGTGTATCACTAGGGAATTCAACTCCTAATATGTGAACTTTGCCTTTGATAGAATAGGCTGCTTCGAGAAGAAGGGCTTGGACATTACATTGATTAGAGATCCTTCTCTGTCTGCTCTTTGAAAAGAAGGTTTATCGTAGTAAGACAGAGATAAGATGCTCTAGGCTTTCATTCCAGGGAAAGGAATTGGAGGATAGAAGGAGTAAACGGCCTCTTTACACTCAGTTCTCAAAGTAGAAAAAATTGCATGCCGCCTAAATCCACTCTATTTAGCGAAAACCTTTTGGAAACATGGGTTATAGCGAAGAATTATGGCCAACGAAAGGACATTTGTCACTGAAAAGAACGTTCCCTTCGCCCGAAAGCAAGAGCAAGGGAAAGACCTGGAGGCAAGGGATTGCTGCTTATGATCAAAGGGATCCGTGTCACTGTCACTATGCTGAACACATCAAATTCGATTCATCCACCGTACTAACACCGGATAAGCATCCCACTCAATCAGAGAATAAGGAACTGCTATAATGAATACTGGTCTGGTCCATTTCTCCTTCTTTTTTTCATCTTATTTATTGATTATATCGAATATATATATCGAAATAGATCGAAGAAAGAGTTAGAAACTTATTCATCTATATGTGTATTCATTCCATTTCTGCGATTAGACTTATATTCTTTCTTTTTAGGTTTTTTTGTGGTATCTGGTTTGATTGTTAGTCTTTCTGGGTCGAATGACCAACCCCAATCTGGAAAGAATACACTTCGACCGTTTGGAATGAATGCTCCACCTTTGGAATCTTCCGAATCGATCCGTACTCTGAGTTCCTCCGAAGGCGACTTCTTCACTTTGTCTGAAACAGAAACAGTAAGTGAAAGACCGGGTTCGGGTATAGAACTGACTCTGACTCCGGAGCTTGACGCTCCGCCGCTCCCCCAGAACCAAGGCCGCCCACAAATGAAGCCGCTTTCTCCGAAGCTGGGCCGTCCAACTGAGGCTAAGGATCACGTACAGAAGTCCTGCACAAAGAAAAGTCCCAGGAAAAGAGGTCAGAAAACCGAAAACAAGGTCTAGCTCAGAAAAAAGGGGGGAAAAAAAACAAGCCTTTTTCTTCAAAGCTTGCAAAAGTAGAAAGTTATACAAAGAAGAATTAGTCAAGACAGAAATAAAGTCTGAATCCTCTTGTCCCATATTCCCTTGGTCTTGTCTTCATTTCATGACTTCTCTTTCAACTCCTAGTTCTTCTGTCCTTTAGGTAGGCAGAATTTACCTTCCTTTACCTCATTCCATAGATTGAAGAACGCTTTCTTTGTATGCGGTTGGTAAATCCCTCCTAGGTTACTTTTCTAAAGAGCTTCCCCTTGATCTCTGACCATCAATATAGGCAATTCAATGTTTTCGATAAGTTGAATTGTAAATGTCAGATTGATCCTCTAGATTGAGTTACTTTTAAGAGTTAGATTTAGAGTGGACTAAAGAAAAAGAGCTCCTACCCGCTTTAAATAGGTTTTTATCGAAGAAATTTATTGCACGAGCAAAGGTAGCTAATATTTATAGCTTCCGGATCCATTTGCCTTTAAGCTGAGTTTTGCAAGATTCGTCCCAGACCTTTTTTAATATTGTCTTTCCCTGTCCTATGGTTTGACCAAGTAGAAGGGCAGGTCCTTTGAACCTTTCTTTCGTAGTCTGAAGGACTTAAACCACTTGACTCAGTAAGCTCCTCCACCCTATGGACAAAGATTTGTTTCACCATAGTGGCGATATCAGCCCAGCAGGACAAGCGGTAGCTTGCGTAAATAGCTGATCAGGGATGGCAGCTCACCAGCCTGTGAAGCCTATAAGCAAGCAAATCAGGAGGCAGATGTCTCTAAAATAGGAATAAAAAAGCTCATCCCAAAAGGGGAGAAAGCTTCTATTATGTTATGTCTTTCCCCTAGTTGTTCGCCGCAAGACGGCAAGAAGGAACCTCAACAAACAAAGGGCAGCCCAACGCCCCTGCGCAAAAGAACGAAAACGGGGATGAAAAGAAGAAGCTGGCAAAGAAAATATCTCTCAAAGAACGACTCTCTAAAGTCGGGGATTTTGATGAAAGCAAGGTAGACGCCATCGTTGACATGTTGATCGCTAACGGTCAGCTGACTCTACCTCCGTGTAAGCGACCCGCCGAAATCGATAAAGTGGATGATTCCAACTACTGCCGGTACCACAGGTCGTAGGACATAGACTAAGACAGTGTTTTGTCTTTAATTTAAAGTAAAGAGCTGGTGCAAGAAGGCCTCCGGACAAAAGCATTAATACTAAGAGAGGAAGAAAAGAAAGCGACTACCAAGATGGTGTCTATATCTATAAGGTTTGGAGCACTGCAACCAGTCTCTATACACGTCGAAGAGATGGATCCTCTGGACACCGAAGTTCGGGTCATCCCTGATGACTCTGAAGAGATAGAGCGGGGGTTGGTAGCCGTCAATAGCCCAGATGGAGATAGAATGTGGGGAGACCCCGATCTCAATTCTCAATGAGGATGACGATTGGGAAGTGGTTACCCCCAAACAAAGCAAGAATTAAGGGTTCCGGTCGCCCTTGCGGACCACCTTCAATCTAAGAGAGCAAGAAAGCCACTCCTCAGATGAAGACCAAGAGGTTTCATCATGCATGATAACGGTGGGCCCTGCTTTGGCAAAGAAAGAAGAAAGACTAACTTCCCCGATTCCTGTTCTAGAGCCGAGAGAAGAATGCACACTGCCTACCCTAATCGAGTTGCTTGAAGATTGCTAGATTAGCGATAGCAATACTATTTTTTTAAAGATAAGAGGAGGCTTGGTTGTGTTTGTTTTGTTTGATAAGTATTTCCTTACTAGCTTGTTTGAGTGACCCAGGAACTCTCCCTTAGGGTGCTACCTCTTGGGCCGTATAGCCCTCTTCCGATGCCTTTTATTCTTCATAGTGATCTCCTCTACCCGCCGAATCACAGAACCGCTACCTTTCTTTCAGAACCTTATCTTCTTATCTGATTGACTGTCCGTCCCGTTATCTCTATTTTTAGGGATTATGACCAGCAACTGGAACACCATAAAGAATAGGCTTTTGGCTGAAAAGAATAATAGCATTGCCCCTGTCTTCATGCAAAACACGTCTACCACGCTGTGAGCAAGCCGCGGGTCTAAGCCACAGGAACAGGAAGGAGTCACTCTTCTTGTTATAGCTGTTGTTCGCTTGGCTTTAGCTCGTCTTTCTCTTTCTCAAAACACTCGAGCGAGTAACCTTTCTTTCCTAGAGATTACAGAAGGGAGCGAAGACAAACTGACGACTGACTTGTGGTATTCTCTCAGGGAGCGAAGCCTCGATACCTACAGTTTAGATGAGATTAGAGTCGGTTCAGGAAAACCCGGAGCTGTTGGTTCGATAGAAACTGGAGCTGTCAGCTTATGCAAAAGTGGAATCCGCGTCTTTTTCTCTTTGTTTACGAAGGGATTAGTGGAGTGTGCTTAGGTCTTGGTCTAGAGTGCTTCCTTTCGCGCCTTGGTTAGCCGGAAGTAGAAATGCCGGGAGTATAGGTGATCAAATATTTCCTCGGGTGAGATGGCTAACCGTGTCCTTACCTGATATGGTTGACTACCCAGGGCGTTGGTTGGCGCACTTGGCTGCTTCTCCCTTTGCCTGCCTTTATTTTCTTTCGGCGGATGAAACAACGGCTTCAGATTCGGCTTGAGAATCGGTATCGTTCCCTGCCTCTGCTTCCCTTGCTTGCTTGTAGGGCATATAGAGGTAGAGGAATATAAAAAATATCTCTGTCATTTTTTGACGGTCTTTCGCGGGCTAAAATCTTACTTTTTTGAAGAAATCGATGAA